CGCCTTCACCTCCCCCCCCCCCCCCCCCCCCCCTTCCCCCCCCCCCACTTCCTTCTGGGTAAATATCTTTTTCTAAGAATTTTTAAAAAAAAAAAAAATACGGGGAAGGGAGTGGGGGGGGGGGAGGGGGGGGGGGGGGGGGGGGGGGAGGTGAAGGCGTGTTGCGGTTTGCGTTTGCACCTCCAGCGAAGGAGGAACGAGAGAATCTTGAGTGAAGTGCGAAAACATGAGAGAAACGCAGACTAAATTTAGGCAAAAACACAGTCGGACGTGACTCTAAATCATAGGAGTTGTACAAGAAGAATTAGAAACGACTGCCACAAATAGCAGTTGAGTCTGAGCCTATGGAAAGTCGAAGGACAGTCGTTGTAACTGGTACTAACGATACCGGACAAACATGAGAGGAGAAAGGCGATTAAGTTTCTGTGTTAAATAATTATTTCCTTATAGACAGATTTGAGAGAGAGAGAGATGAATCATCATTGAGAACTCCATCAATGTAGTCAACCGAGGAAGTTTACTGATTTTTGAAAATTCCGGAAGCTAGGTTCCCTACAAACAAACATGTCACTTTTAAGGATGTTTCGTGGGGGGTGCTTCGAAGTGAATTTGAGTTGAAAAGACCCATTCAATCCTTTTTCGAGATATTTTTTCTTTTTTGTCAGGTTGTATGTATCGGCTTGAACTGATGGAATTGTTGCATAGCATTCTCTCTCTCTCTCTCTCTCCCTCTGTCTGTGGATGCAATTGCCTCATGAACCGTTCGTCATATGAGGGAAAGCGATGAGAGATGAAATGGACATAGGAAGGGCTCGTTAGAGAGGATATTTCATATAAGAAGAAGATTATTCTTTCGTTCTCTTCTGCCTTATTTGGATTCATTTGTGAAAGTGAGAATGTGGTTGATGGATACATAGGCACATTGGCTTAAAGTTTGTTGTTGCTTCATCGGAATTCAAAATATTTTGGGGGAGAAGCCAATTTGGAGTATAATATAGTAGAAATAATATAATTTAAGAGTGTTCATAACTAAAATTCATAGAATAAATTAAAAATTCTTCGTTCGACGGCATCGAGAGAGAGAACGAGGGAGATGGCGATGAGGTAGACGAATGAGTGAAATGAAGTGGAGAGGAAGGCGATTATCTTTTTTCGTCGTTTTTTTAAGTTTAAAACTGAACGCCGATTTTATGAATAATTAATGAGAGAAACCTTTTCTGCGAGCAAGTTTCGTGTTTTCAAAAAAAACTTGGATAATCTTAGGGAAATGGGTGAGAGAGGGGGAAGAAGAGGGAAGAAGAGCATGAATGGTGATGGAATGTTAGGACTGCGTGTGCTAACCAACGTCTGGAGGAGACACTTCGTAGAAGCTCAAAAGAATAATTCAGATATGAAATGGAATAAATGATGATATAGAACGAAAGACGAAGATGAGAAAACCTCTTAATTGGAACAATATAGGAGTAGCGTGACTTGGCGGAACAATTCAGAAAAAATTGTGAAATTATTAGAGGAAGAGATGTAAGACAAAAGATTTCTCTTTCAGAGCCATCTTCTCTCTCTCTCTCTATCTTGCTCTTTCTCTTTTTTCTCTTTCAATGAGTTCTTGAAATGAAAAAGAAGAAGATGGAAAGCTGAAAAAGAAAGAAAATGAATGTGTTCAACGGAAATAAGATGCACACCGATCCCTAAACTACTAAGCTAGACGTCACCCAATGAGATGAGGAGAGAAAGAATAAAAAAAAGATTCAAACTATGGTAATTCTAATTGACTGAGACACATTTGGTGGTTTTTATTAGAAGACAAAGCAGTTTATATGAGTGAGTGAGGATCTATCTGATGCAATTTTAATGTCATAATGAGTACTTATTAATAAATTATTGTTCAGATTTGTGAAGCAAACGAAGACATCAGACTTCTCAAATTCATATGAACTATCTGAGTTCTCAAAAGGATACATGAGGGGGTTGTTGGAACACACACACACACACACATATACATACACACAGACAGAGTTTGCAACTGAGCAGGGCAAAGGATGAGAACGTCTTGGATATGCTTGTAGGTAAGCAGAGTTTATCCAGCCGCAGCATGCGTTTCATGGGCCAAATAAGTGGAAATTGAGAGAAGATGTGAGTGAGCTTATCTCCAAACTTCAAAAATAATTTGGAAAGCAGTTGGCCAATTGTCAAACGTCGTAGTGCCAACGACGTGTTATTGCTCTTCACAATGAATCGATTATAAATTTTGTGGTTTCAATTGCTATTGAAACAAACAAAGAGCACAAGTACTGACTGAGTAATATGAAATAAAAGTTTTTTTATGTTTCGACGTAAAAATAATAATCTTGAGGCGACAGCAGCAACTGTTTCATTCATATGTCAACTTACAAGCAGCAACAGTTGTTTTACAGATTTTTAATGTGAAAATTGAACACAACACGAGTTGCTGATGGACTTAAAATGGAAATGGACGAACAATGCCGTTACGAGAGGATGATAGGAAAACGAAATATATCAGAGAAGGGAAAAGTTACAAACAAATAGCGCAACTTGTGCTTCCAATCCCAACTCTCTCCCTCACCCTGCAAATGAAGGATGCTATGAACTTTCTCCTTTTTTTACAATCGTTGGGAACATAAATGGGCCACCAGAGTGAAAGTCAAACGAACATCTTCTGTTGACGCTCAAAATAAAATCAGATGTTGAGGCAAGTTGCATCTATTACTCTCATCAGTTGAATACTTCATTCAGACGTTATCTGATCAGCAACGAATATACATGTTTGACAACACAAAACACAAATACTACCAATAGCAATAAATATATTTCCTGAGCGATTTATGCTTCTTTCAATTCAGAATAGTAAGCGAACAAATAACTTTCAATGGAGCAAGTCAACGATATCATAATCATCTAATTAGCATAAGTTAGTCCAGTTCCACGTATTGGCCGAACGAAATTAGCGTAATTACTGAAAGCTATTGACTTTTGAAATGCCATTTTCATTTTTTCATACACTGACGCGCAGCACGGTTGCATTCCGAATAACTCTTCTCATCATTCTCCTTCAACTCTCAAACATTTTCAGTTTCAAGCTATATTTCATAAAAACGTCGAATCAAACATATGCTGCCAGCTGTTAATCTTCTTTCAACTGTTTTTTTGTCCTAGTGATTATCTATTTGACATTTACAAGATAAAGAATTAAAGGAATTTTCTTTGTTAGAGGATTTTATTTCAACGATGATGCTAAGGGCAATTGTTTTATTTTTCTTTCTGCACGTCCGCATTACTGCGTTGGATTTATCATGTTATGTACACAATCGATCAGATCACACAATATTCTGTCGGTCGAGTGCTAATTTACCGGAAAGAAACTATTTTCAGATAAAATACATTTATCTGGTACAAGGTTAGTTGGCTTTATGTCCTTTTATAGTTTAAGTTGACATCTTCCTAGATTTGACGATTGATACTCATGAACATTATTCGAAGTTGGTTAAAGTGTCCAAACATTGTGATAGAGCTTGTGATGTAGCTCGACCACCTCAACCATGCTCTCAATCGGGTAAACCCTTTGACTGTCTTCTCCATCTTCCATATTATCTTTTAAGAAAACCATGGTTGCAAATGTGGATGGACGTTCTATAACGTTACTAACTCATGCTATCGAGTAGGCATCTATAGTCTCTACAAGTTTACATGTACTGCTGCAGGTTATGAGAACTGCAATCGGTTATACTTTTGATGAAGCTGAAAGAGATTGTGTTCTGCGAGGGGGTGATTTGACTTCCATTCATAGTTCCGAGGAGAACGAATTTCTCGCTCGTGGGTTAACTGCTCTGAGGGATAGATAAACATGGAACACTTCAGACTTATCCGGAACTGGTAAACGTTTCCAAATGCAAGAACATGCTTGGATAGGATTGTATCGAGATCATCTCTCAAAGTAATTCATGTTCAAGCTGAAACATTCAATTTATGTTTCAGACTCAAATGGATTGATGGAACTGAAGTAGATTACCAAATATGGTGGGACAGTCAGCCGGATAACTTCAATGGAACAGAAGGATGTATACAGGTGTATTATATTTATTATATGATATAGTTATTATTATTATTCTGAAGTTGCGCAATTGGAAACAATCAATTGAACAACGATGGAATGATGTGAATTGTGAAAGACGAATGAAGAAATACATTTGTCGGGCATCTCCGATAATACTCGACGACGAAGAATGATGTTATGCTTTTCGAAGACGCACAAATATGATTAGACCAACTTCTATAGTTAATAAAATTATGCAGAGTGATAAGACAGTGTAGAATCGTGTAATTGTCATGCAGGTGGCGTTTCCTGAAACTGATGTATCCAGATTCATATCTGAATAGCTCATACCTTTTACTGTTGATACTTTTTCGTCTTCTACTTTCATCGTTACTAACACATCTTCATATTCATCGGACTTGCTAACGGGCAGATTCCTTCTACTTCTGCCGCGGCATGTCGGCTTTAAGTTCGCTTATTAAGTCCTTAATTGTTTGTGAAACTAACCTGCTTACATTCGTCTTCCTTACACAGCTTCAAAGCACAAGATATGCGTACTGTATCTCCGTTTCGGAAACGGAAAGCTCTAAGAGGAAGTATAAAGCCTTTCTCCGTTCTCTGTATATCTCCTTGGACAATATATTCATTAGCAGCTTTCTTTGGACAGCTGAAAATTTGAATTTTTGAAGGATGGAAGAGTATTCGAACCCATTCTCTATTAAAGTGATGTTATCAAGTTGAGACTCAAGTCCTGTTGCCAGACAACTATGGACGATGTAGTCATCGGCCATGTTAATATCTTTCTGGAACACAAGCTCCAGTGGTTGTCCCAGAGAAACTGTCTTGACTTTTGCTTCCTTAAAGAATATGATTGCTGACTAGCCATGCACATCATTTGCTTGGTCACCTCATGTTGACGTTTCGACCTCAATTCCATTGTCATCTTTGAATGATAAGGGACTTTGCCCGATATTTCCATTTTGTTATACTTTGTGCTTCTAAGAGAAATGTTTTGTTTAGAAAGTATGGCTGTGTTACTTCAAGGTGAGTTGTCGGGATACTGAAGCTGTCTGTGTTCCATTCCCATAATCACAGCTTATGGAAAACAAGCGATCCGAGTCAGTAATAATCGGCAATCCCGATTCCTCGAACATACTCTCTTTCAATACAACTACTGCTTCATAGAGATGGTTCTTCTGTAAAGTGGGCTTGATGAAGTGTCTGAAGAATGCACTTTACCTTAACAACACCACATCTCTCAGTCTCATTTAAGAAAATAGTTAGTTCACCCTCTTTAACGTTATTAAGAGTTGTAGAGCAGTTATCAAATGAATTCCGTGCGAAGAAATGACCCTCTAAAGCTTTATCGGCATTAAGCTGAAAGAGAACAGGTTGATCAGTTACTATTACGAAATTAACCTTAATGGTTATTTTGTCATACTGACAAATCGTTTTCAAATTCACTTTGCTCTCTTTGATCTGCTGTCTCTGACGAGCCGGTTCATTCTGAAATAGTAAGCATTAGCATACGTGAGATACGTGGATTCTAGTGTATCGATTCATTTGACTTTTTTAGCAGACGGATGTGCGGTTGCGTTTTTCTTAGAAGTTCCATGACGTTTCAATTTCAATTATGAGATACGAACACTTACGCTGTTTTTGAAAGTTTTCGAAGAATGTGCTCGGTATTTCGAAGGTTCATCCAAGGAAAACTCTCCTTCCGATCGAAAAGCTATAACGGTAGTGAGAGCAGCTTAGATAGGGATTCGAACCTGTTTCCGTAGAGTTCAATGAAATGATGTTAAGGCCGAAGTGTCGACACTTTTTTTTTTCGGCGGCTTTAGTTCTTTTCTTAGAACTCTTATTCAACAAGTGACAGGTATGGCTTTCAGTGTAGTAGGAAACTGCTTCACAACTTAAACCATATCGATGTACATTGATTTGCATAAACAGTATAACCTTCTCGTGGGATGGGTGAGACAAAGCGAAAAACAGTGGGTGAGATCAATTCCTTTGATCTTCAAACTGCCCTTAGTAGAAGGACACGCATGGCCAAGCTCTTCGAAAAGGATTCCTTCGACCGTAGCGTCTAGAGGATGCATGAGAAGAAGATAACTCTCTAGGATATACCTGCTTCAACGCTCTCTATTCCAGAACATAATCTTTCTATTGTCGCTGTACGATTTGGTAGAGGTGCTGGTGCTACTATACAAGTCGTATTCCCTTGATAGTACGCATGGCTGCAGGAATACGAAGACATACAGCTATGAGGGATGATTAAAGGTGAAAAAAAGTTGAAATGATACCTCTGTAGACAGACTTGTTGTTCTTGTTTGGATTCGCCAATGTTGGCTACATACATGGAAGCATCGGATGAGCACGGTAGTACAGTTGTACAAAGATTCTCTAATACTTGATACTCTTCATCTATGAAGTCCAATGCTTGGCCATCTTTGTTTTCTTTGACTATGAAGCATTCGTTATAGGCCTCGTGGAAAAGAACATAATCACAGAACTTGCACTGTTGCACACACTGAAAGAACTCTTGTGAACATCTACCAAAGGTGGCTTAGTACCTGTGGTAGGGTACTGATGTTATGAAGTCGGGCTTCTCCATATATAGTTCTAGCATTGTGTGGTATCAAGTTGAAACTAGATGAGCAAGAAGTTGGTTCTGAAATTGAAAGAGTGTTTATTGCTCGCATGTTTTCTCCATCTGATGATGAAATTACAGAAAGGAAACATTGTTGCGAAAACCTGTCACAGTCGAATGAAAGCCAAGAGTTGCATACTGACCTACATTTATTTCGAATATGTAGGTCTGATTTCTCTTGTTTTTTTCGAATTTTCGAGATGGAAATTTGCATGTTAAGGTTTGTTTACTCACTTGGTAGCCTTCTTTCCATCAACGAAACAGAAAATCCCTCGGAGTCAGGCGTTAAGGCAACGGTGTCACTGTTTGCAGAATTCAGAAGACAGTCTCCACTTTCGTTGTAGAACATCACAGATAAACATACGAATTTCTATAATAATCTTTTTTCACATGTTTAGATGAGATGACGAACGGTTTCTTTCGAACATAACGACAAGCAATGATATTGGTCTATGGCTTTCTCAATCTTTATTGTGTTGTCCAGCAGCAAACGATCTGACCGTTGGCTCATGATCAGAAACTGACTCACATCTGGATTGAACAATGTCTTATGTATAAGATGATCTACTGACCTTGCACGCAATGCTTTCGTACAAATTCTTTTTCACTCAGTGCACCGAAGTAGTCATCGGCTAGGATAGTCACACATGAGTTTGAAGACACTATGACGCCTTCAGAATATCATTATCTTCATATGTATATCTGGAAACACTCACCTGTACATTCCGAGTGTGAGCAATGCTCAAAGCAATGATCATTTCTATTCGATAGATGGTCCATGAAAAAAACCGCACCAGTTTCCGGTGGACAAACCAAAGCGAACGTAAGATGGACACATCCTATATAGGCTAACCAGAGTGCAGTTTTAAGCATTTTTACTAGAAAAGGTGGTTGAAAGTTTCGTTTAGGATGAAGAAATGGTACACAAGATGAAGAGAATGTACGATGAGTGAAACGAACGAACAACTGAACTGTTCCTTGAACAATTCAGCAACACTAAGGGAGGATGCCTTCACGCGTTTTGAGGAAGTTGGTTATGAACAGTTGTTTTGGGGCTTATGAGAATAGTTCAATCTGAATGAACCAAGGGCAAGACACGCGGATGAGGGGGCTAAATGAGCCATTCGACCCTTCGGAGAGGCCGATGTTTGTGAGGAAAACAAGATATGATTGTTTCGTGTGTTTGTAATGGATGACTAGTTACAGAATAAGAAGAGAGAAGAAGACGTCCTCGAGTATTCCTCTTGACTGATATGAAATCCCAGTTCCACTTCTAGCTCCTCCTCTTCATTTCTTTTGCGAATTTGAGATGATTCCTTATGGTAGTTTCCTCTTCAAAGCAAACACCAAGTTTCAAAAGTAGGCTCGAGGACAGATTTATACAATGCATCACAGATGGATGATTTCGGGGAGCGATGTATTGAACATCTTTGAGAGAACATACCTTTACTCATATCTATCCTTATCACAGAAGGTATTGTTACTTCCTTGCCTACTGAATCTTTGACATCCGTCTGGAGTTTCAGTTTGATCATACTTTCCCCAGAAGATGCTTATCTCGAACGAACACTCATTGTGGCAGCGAATAAGCTACAAGAAATCGGGACCGTTAACTATGCATCACTGGCAAACAGGACGAAGGATGTTTGTAAGTACTGAAAGTGAACTTTGTTCTCCAAATATGTGTTTTTGATTCCTGTGATGGTCACAAAGTTCCTTTACCATTCTTCCAAAAGCGCAAGAAATGAGAACTCACGAGCTTATTGTCAATATATGGAATATCATAGAGCGGAAAGAAAACGGAACGCAACAGTTCTCGGGGGGGGCGTGCTTCTTCCATATATTTGGAGATCCCATAGTAAGACGAAGACCGTTCTTAGCAGTTGGGATTGGATTGCAACCGTTCTGTGCGGTTGAAGGTGAAATGCAACCTCTCGGTGCGTTTCG